CAGATTCCTAAGAGAGGAGAAACAAATAAAGCAAACCCTTTACTTGTCCCTACATTCTCCTGTAAGGCAGGAGGTACCTTTCAGGAGGTACTGAAGTAAAATTTGAGCCAAAGGTAGTGGTTTTGCTGAGCTGAAGAGACAGAGACTGGAATAGAGGGAAGTTTAAGTAGTTGGGACTTATGGATAAAACTGTCTGGGAAAGCAGAGCTACCGAATGATCAACATAAATCTCCATAGATGTTCTCTTGGCTTTTGCTGAATACTAAATTGTGCCCATTTATGGGGAAACCTAGAAACTGAGCAAAGAAGGAGTGGGGAGCCAAGCAATTCCCAGAGCTCACACAGGGCTGAGAGCAACTGGAGTTCTGACCAGCCAGAACAGATAGATGTCACTGAATACTCAGCATATTCAATAGAGATCCCAGAATATCCTGCCTTAGTAGTAGGCCTAACGTAGCCCTTAGAGTACACTGTGAGATAGACCCAACCTAACAAACTTAAAAACGAGGCTTGAGAGGCGCCTGGGTGGCTCAGTCAGTTAAGCGTCTGACTTCGGCTCAGGTCGTGATCTCGCGGTCCGTGAGTTCGAGCCCTGCGTCAGGCTCTGTGCTGACAGCTCAGAGCCGGGAGCCTATTTCAGATTCTGTGCCTCCCTCTCTCTGACCCTCCCCCAATCGTGCTCTGTCTCTCTCTGTCTCAAAAATAAATAAACATTAAAAAAAGTTTAAAAACCGAGGCTTGAAAGGAATAAGCTGATCCACAGCTAACTTAACTGCCTCCCCTAAAACAAGCAGACCTCCCTCAACATTCAGCACACTCTAAAGAAACACAACAAAATCCACTCAACAAATGAATGTCCAGCTTAATCACAAATTACTGGACATGTGAAGAAGTATGAAAGTGTAACCAGTAACCAGAAGAAAAATCAATTAAATCCAGAAAAGGCAGAAGTAATGGAATTAATAGACATGTGCTTTAAAACACTAATTCTAAATATTTTCAAGGATCTCGAGGATGAACATAATGAGGAAAGAAACTGTAAATATAAAAAAGAACCAAATGAAATTTCTAGAGCTTAGAAAACATTGTATAGTGTTTGTAATAGATTAGACTGCAAAGGAGAAAAGATCCTAGTCTATGAGAAAATGTTTGCAATACCTGTCAAAGGACTTATACTCAAGGTAAAAAAGGGATTCTTAAAATGAGTAAGAAAACCCATTTTAAAAACTGAGTAAAATATTTTAATAGATATTTCACAAAAGATATGCTAATAAGCACAAGAAAAAATGCCCATCAGAGAAATGCAAATGAAAACCACAATGTGATACCAATAACCTACTAGAATGGAAAAATATTTTTTTATAAGTTTATTTTTGAGAGTGAGGGAGTGCACACACACACACACACACACACACACACACACACACACACATGCATCAGTTGGGGAGGGGCAGAGGGAGAGAATCCCAACCCAACTCCATGCTGACAGCACAGAACCTGATGTGGGGCTTGAGCCCACGAAACGTGAGATAATGACCTGAGCTGAAATAAACAGTTGGATGCTTAATCAACTGAGCACCCCAAGGTGCCCCTAGTATGGCAAAAAAATTTTTAAAGGAATATACCAAGGTGTGGAGCAACCAGAATATTCATACATTGCTGTAGGAGTGTAAAATGATTTAATTACTTTGGAAAAGTTTAAGGTTAAGCATACACTTATGGCCCATAAATTCTACCCCTTGGTATTTACTGAAAAGAAATGGATTTACACAATGTTTATAGTGCTTTATTTGTAACAGGCCCAAACTTCAAAGAAAAATGTCCATCAGTAGATTTATGAGCAAACATTGTGACTTACAATAGAATTCTACTTAGAGGTAAAAAGGAATGAATGACTGATACATACAAGATAGATTAATCATAAAAAATTGCTGAACAAAAGCCAGATACAAAATAGTATGTACGTACAATCTTGTTTATATGAAATTTAGGACCAGGTAAAACTAATTTCTAGTCATGGATCTCATCAGTTGCCTGGTACTGGGATGGGAACTTTTACATCTTGACTGTGATTAAGTTATGTAGGTGTGCACACCTTCCAAAACTAGTGTCAAACTTGAAATGAGTGCCCTTTACTGTATATAAGTATACCTCTATAAAACTGATTTTTAAAGTGTACATCGCACTCTATACCAAAAATAAGTGGAGTAATTTCAACATCATGATTTTTTTACTGGAGACTAAGTAATTGACAGGTCAGCAAAGGTGACTGCTTTGATTTTAAGAGATCCACACTTAGAGGTTTTCCTGTTTATAGAGAAGCTCGTATTAAAGAGCTCATAAGTGATGAGGTTGTTTCCTTGATTTGTGTACTTTATATCAAGCATTGACGTCTGTGAGATGTAGAGGATATTCCTTTACTGTAAGTGGACGCATGGGGATTAGAACGTATAGGCTTCAGATAAATGGGATTAGCATGTCCCATATTTGAACCTACTTCTATTAACTATCAATAACAGTACTTCACAGGTTGTTTTAAGGAGCTAATGAGTTTTTTTTTTTTTTTTTTTTTTTTTTTTTTAATTAAATAAACCAGAAAGCCATGTATTACATACTGGCTTGCTTTACTCTCCCCTCCCTTTTGTTCCACTCCTTGCAATCAAGGACTAGGTAAAGATAGCCTGGGTCACAGTCTTCCATAGGCTTCTGGTAATATGTTCTGGGTTCTCTTAGCATATTCCTTTCTGTATTTGTTAAGTTATACCAGAGATAACACTTCATCACTGTATTTAGCTAACTTGAAAGAAGCTTAGGTCATACAAAAGTGATTGTGCTTTACAAGAATTTCTACTCACTAATATTACCACCAAATATCGGAATTCCAGTTTTGGCTTAGTTGTTGCAAAAAATAAAGATCATGGCATAAATACTGTCTATTTGCTTGTTTGATCATAAGATAGTAGACTTAACAAAAAACCCAAGCAGGTTAGTAACATGTTGTAATCCAGGGCCCCAAGCAAGGCAGGCTTTTTAATCAGTGCTCTAAACAATCAAGAGTATTTGATATGGGCAGGCAAGGTTGGGGAAAACTTCATGGATAAATGGAATATATATTGGATCCTGGTTTATTATGTTTTTTAGAACTCAGAAACAAACACATATTAAAAACTATGGAAATTTAAACATAAATGATGTCTATATTATAGCTTCTCCCAGAGTGGTACTTTGAGACTATGTTAATGACACATGGCTTTTCCAAATATACTATTTTGTTCCTTTTTCATTTATGACCTGAGATGGATTCATTTCTCGAGCAGTATTAAGCTTCACTGCCATAAATCCACTTATTTTATAGGTAGGAACTAGTCTTGCTTTTGACTCTAGAACCTATAACTAGTTCCACTAATAAAAATGAGTGATCTTATAGTATCTGATATTCTTTCAAGAAACTTGTTCTTTCTCTACAAGTAGATTTAACATTGAAATCTGTCTACATGAAAATAATTAACTTGATTTGTTTTGGGCAAATATTTCTGCATAAGACATTCCAAAATTATATGATTCCTGATGTAAAGTGAAATTCAGATTTTATATACTTGTACACATTCATTTTTTCCAAAAGGTAACATGGGTGTTTGGGGGAAAGAAATGAAAAATAGGTAGATCACACAGGATTTTTAGGAAAGTGAACACACTCTGTGAGATTATAATGATGAATACGTGTTCTACATTGGCCAAACCCGTAGAATGTACAACACCAAGAGTAAACCCTAAGTTAAGTCTGGACATTGAGTGATTATGATGTTGATGTGGGTTCAGCAAGTGTAACAAATCTACTACTGTGATCAGGGATGTCAATGGGGGAGGTTATGTATGTGTGGGGGCAGGGGATAGGTCGTAAATCTCTGTACCTTCCTCTCAGTTGTGCTGTGAACCTGTAACTGCCCTAAAAAAAGTCTTTAAAAAGCAGTAATTTGTAACATTTTTTAATATTGCAGTCATTTCTTATTAAATCCAATAGGAGTATTTTTCTTCATATAAGGTCCCTAAGTAATAAATAGCCAGTCAAAAGAAAAGTGAAAAGAAATTTCTTCTCAGTAGGTCATTTTGGTCTGGTCAATAATTCAACTTTTCTGAGTAACAAACTGTAAAATAATTTGTAAAATGCAACTTTAAAGATAATTGCTGCCGAGTAATTTTTAAATATGGTATATTTCATATCACAGAGGGCATTTTTTTTTTAAGTAAGGTGTTCTAAATATTCTTGTGGTTGACAGAGTAAAAATTTAAACTTAACGTTATTTACCAGTTAATACCCAGGACATATAGGAGATAGGGTCTTTCATTTAGTAGAAGGTCACCATCATTAATTTACAACTGATGATTTTATAATAGGTCCTTCTAGTTCTTGATGGTCATTATTGAAGTATAATGCATTGAAGATATTGCCTGTACAAAAGCAGAACAGGGATCTTAATTAGAATTCTGACAAGCCCACTCCAATAAAATGATGAGATTATTTGTAATTGATGTCACAATCAATTACCATTTAGTTCATCATGAGCATTCTAATAGGTCTAGCCTTGGTATTGGCCCCAGGATGTTGCTGAGTGAGTGGCTGCCCTGCTTATGCTGTTATAGAGACAGGAGGGCACATTTTCAGTCAGCATCCTAATGACCTCTTTTGAAGTCTATTAAATTAATGACCCTGTCACACTGTTTTGATCTCTTATAACCTCAGTTTGGGGTTTGTGTAACAAATTAATGTTTGGGAACCATGTGGCAAAAAAGATCTTTTAAAATGTTGAAACCTTCACATTACTTACTAATATTCAGTAGAAGATATTGTGCAAGAGATAAAAGCAAAAATACAAATCACAGGGTTTGTATTTTATGAGAACTTTAAAACATTTCTCCATACTACCAAAAAGACGCGCTTCTTACAGTACCCAAATTTATTTTTCTTTCTGAAAAGGGGCTGCTTTCTTCTCTAATTCTAGGTGCCAACAGGTCATGTGTGGTTAGAAGGTGATAATCTACAGAATTCTACAGATTCCAGGTATTATGGACCTATTCCATATGGACTAATAAGAGGACGTATCTTTTTCAAGGTATTATTTTCTGCTTAAAATTTAGGCTTTCTTATCTGAGCTGGAAAAAAAAAATTTCTTTCAAAATGAACTTTGAAATATTCAGCTATCAATGGACTTAACTGTAGCAGTGACTACATTTAGGAACCTGCTGGCCTTCAGAGCTATAAACATTACCCTTTCCCCCACTGAGATAGGTAATTAAGAGTAATTTTTTGTTTGAATAATAAAAATTCAAACTACTTTAGTTATAAGAAGCCTTTCATTTAAATCTCCAAAATGTAATTCTTTCTCATATAACTTTTACAACTATATGTTTACCTTGGGCATAAATTAATATACATTTGCAGAAGAACAGTGTCGAGTCAAACAAACTACCTGTTAAGCAGGGATATCCCAGTTAAGTACACCGAGTAATGGTCTTACCATGGTTATAAATGTATGACTCAGGAAAGATTATTATTTTCACTGGCAGTGAGAAGAAGAACACATGAATACTTGGGGTTGTTGGATAATTTGCAGGATTCTTTGCACTTACGCAGATGTTATATTCAAATACTTAGGTTCAGGGTTCACTTTATTTGAGAGTAGTAAAACAAAACACAGACACACATATTCATACATCTATATTCACGCACTATACACAGGTAACTGATATAACACATCAGTGTTCCAAACTTTAGAGTTTAAATACATGTACACATACAAGTTTACTTTCTAAAGTCTTATTTTGATATAATTTGTTCTTGACTAAAGAATAAGGAGAACGTATTTCATATATGGCATAGAGAAAACAGATGGATAAAAACAGGGAGTATGATGATGATATAACATCATTTCATTAATTGTCTTCAATCACATTTTGATTTTACAGATTTGGCCTCTGAGTGATTTTGGATTTCTGCGTGACAGCCCTAATGGCCACAGATTTTCTGACGATTAGCAAGCATTTATTCTTTTGATTTCATTATTCTCTCCTATTCAAGTGAATTTATCATTGCCACTGAAACCATGTACTTACTAATAAACTATTTGCTATTTAGTTTTAGTCATTTTTAATTGTTAAATGTAAAGAATAAGCAACACACACTGCAAGCTATATTAGTTCAAAATATATGGATAAAAATGTAATCCAAAGTAAGTCCTCTAAATTTTATGATAAATATAAAAATATTTTTAGGGAAAAAACCTGGGTGACAACCTCACTTTTGAACTTTTGGTTTTATAGCTATGATGAACGTAATCTCTTGAATATGCCTTATACTTTAGCTACATTTACAAGTCAGAGTAGTAACTAGTCTTGTAAGTACAAACTAATAATAAATACCAGGAGTTCAACCTAATAAAAAACTGCTAAGTCACATGCTTGGTTCACTCATTTGAAATTAGGTAATGAAGTTTCAGTGATCCCATAAAGGATTTCTCAGATTTTTTAAAAATGAGTTCTGACTTACACTGTACATAGATTATCAAATGCAAAGAAAAATAAAATCTTTAGAGTGTATTGTAATCAATAACAACATTATAAAAGTCCATTTGTTCATACCAGCAATGTAGTGGTTTTCTATTCATAAATAGAGACATTAATACTCTTAGACTTTGAAATAAAAAGGAAAGTAATGCATCTGTTTCAAATTAATATTTTTAAAAAAACTGCCACTTCCTAAGTTACATTTAAAGTTGAAGATGGCAGTGTTCAAGCCTTACTCCCTTTAATGTAGCCACACGAAGACTCAGGGAAGATAGTGCCAGGACCAAAGTCAAGTCTTTTGACTCCAAAGCTGTCTTTTCCACAGTTGCCACTTTACCTTCCTGAAGGTAACTTCATGAATATCCATATCCAGTCCTAGTTATGAGACAACTAGGTTCACATGCTATTCACAAAGATTCTAATTTAACTCTAATGACCTGAGAATTTGAGATACTTGTACAACAGGCTGATAACTTTAGCACAAATAAATGTCATGTTACTTCAGAAACTTAGTAACTATAAAGGAACATGATGATACTGTGACGCTTAACAAGAGGAGACATGCTTATTTGAAGAAAAGGAAAATTCTTATTTTGTACCAAGGAGAAAATGGACCAAATAACAAAAGTTCTCAGATGGGAATTCACAAAATATAATTTATAATTCAAGTCTTTTTTGTGATCTACAAATATAAATTATAAATACATATAAATGAGTTCATTTTCTATTAACCTAGGGTGGCCCTCGCTTGAGTCTTCTATTTTCTCTGCAAATAAAAGAGCTGACAAAAAAAGAATCCTGCTTCTTTTTATCAGCTTTATACATTTACTTGAATGGGCGCTCTTCAACATGTATGAATACAGAGTTAAAGGATCCCATTTAGTGAACAATTTCAGCCATAATGAAGGAGTTCTATTATTAGTGAACATGTATCACAAGAAACCAGGGTAACTTCTTCTGCTTCATCCTTGGAAACACTGTATTTTCCACCACATCGGCAACTCAGAGAAAAAGTGTGATCATCTGTAAAGAAAACAACATGATGCATCAAAGGTTTACAAGTAACTATTTCAACACCTTTTTAAAAATGCAGCTTATGTCACAGAAATTGCAAACCAAAAAAGATTTTCAGTAAGTATAAAATGTATCTAAATAAGAACTTGAAAAGATTTCTTATATAGGGGCAATGTTTCTAAAAATTACCTACCAAAGAATCTTTTTGTTTTGTTTTATTTTTATTTACTTTGAGAGAGAGGGGGAGAGAGAGAATCCCAAGCAGGTTCTGCGCTGTCAGCACAGAGCTCAACTCAGGGCTTGATCTCATGAACTGCGGGATCATGACCTGAGCCAAAATCAAGAGTCGGACACTCAACTGAGTGAGCCAGCCAGGCACCCCAAAGATCTTGAGGGGACAGCAGATGCTCAGGGGTGACCCATGACATTTATTTGAAGTCTTCTGTTTTCTGTTTTAAAATATAAATTTTACATTCCTCTCAATTTATTTGTCCAAATTATTACTGTGAAGGAAAGAGAAAAATAGCTCTACATGTTTTATTGTTAAGCCACATGCTTTTTTGCCTGGAGTATATCCTTTTAGAGAAAACTCTGCTAACTTAACTGTTAATCAAGTTTAACATTTTAAATACTCTCTGTTCTAGTATCACACTAATTCTGTGAAGTGAGATGCCCAACAGAGAGCATACAGCACAAGGTTTAGTCTACCAATGGTAGAAATTTCACTAAATCTGTCCTCTTGACAAGTTGAAATGCTTATGTCCTTTAACTGAAAGAATCTCTGATTCACTGGTCATTCCATTTCAGTGTCACTGAGAAGTGACTGTCAAAGAAAAATAATGATTGATCACCTTATCCTGCTACTGCCAAAATTTTTTATTACAAATATATCAAATATCTTCATTCAGTTCTCAAAAATTTTTAACACTCAGATCTTATCATATATGCCACTAAAAAAAAAAAAATTCGACCGACTTCTATTTGTTCTCTAATCAAGTTTGGCCTTGGAAAAATTAACAAGACAACTTTTGGGGTGCTTGGCTGGCTCAGTCGGTACAGCATGTGACTCCTGATCTCAAGGTCGTGAGTTCAAGCCCCATTCTGGGCATGGAGCCTACTTAAAAAACAAATAAACAAATAAGCCAATTTTACGTGTTTCTTTTACCAGTAAGGAAAACATGAATTCATTCACACAATCCTTATTTCTCATCACAATGCCTTTTTTCTCCATAGACAAAATTATTTGATCTTGTATTTTAAAATGCTAACATCCTTTCTGTCTGAGCCAACATATATACTGTAGTAGAGCATGCTTTCAAAGTGAATTGTTTCATTATTAAATTGTCTAAAACTGTACATATTCTAACCAAGGGTTTTCTTAAGCTAAATCTCCCTCTTGTTTTTTTACCACCTCAGTGAACACTGAGAAACAATCTGAGGTGACAGGCGCTCAGTAAATGATGCAGAGGCCACCATGGGCTACTGTGGAGTTTTGTCATAGAGGATTCCAAATGTTAATGCTCACTAAAAATTCACATCTTGTTACGTTTCTTCTTATATTATTCTATCACTTAACAAAGTGATATCTTCACAGAAACCATTTTAAATACATTGAAGGCAAAATGACCAAGTTGTGAAACAGACTAACTCTAAGGGGAAAAGGTTAACTTCACTCCCTCAACAGTTCTTTAGGGATGCCTTTTAAGCACAGTAAAATGCACTGTTTCATACTGTCCTTGGGTCAAGAAGATGGTAATGTGGCTATGTCTACCATGTAGGGCTTCACTTTTCTCCTGCTTGGGATCTTCACTTTCCAAGGCTATTCTGAAAATGGCTATGAAGGAATCTTCGATTTCTTATTTGCCCAGTTGATCACACTTGGTATTGAACTGCATCTGTCAAGAATGCTGTTTTCAATTGCAAAGAACAATTCGAAATTGCAAATTCAATTGCAGAACTTACATTACTGGTTTTTAATATTCTTGCAAAAATAACAGCTTCATGCAGCTGTTGGCTGCTCAGTATGTTCTCTTAAGGATTATCTCTCAACAATAAGGATTATTTCCATCTTTATATATATAAAAAAAACAAACATTAATTGAAATAAGTGTCAAAGTATGTCTTATACTTGTAAGATTCACTGTAGCTTCTTATAACTGATTCATTGGCTGTGGTTAGGATTCTTCTATATCTTCTGCACTGTCCAGTTTATTTAAGGGAATCCCAAGGACAGTGACACATTTATAACTTGATGATTTCATATTGTACATTTCCCTTTAATATCTTGTTTTTTTACATTTGTATCAGAAAACTCATTGTATTTGTTGACTGAACAGATGCTTGACCAACCAATCCATATTCATTTAAAATAAAATCTAATATTATTCATATTTTTAAAAGGCTACTGAAGGAAAAATTACAAAAACCAGTTTGGCTATTTCATATTCTCAGGAATCATTAGGAAACAAAATATATTAATTAAATCAACTGCAGCAAGAAGAATTTGTCTAATAAGAGATTAAACACATATACACCGAATACTGACTGATGAGGTACCAATACTATATTTTCAAAAAATAAATTTAGTTGGGCAGATCTCCTTGATAAATGACATGCTTTAGTCTGTCCCCTCCATGAACTAAAAGAAGTCTTTCACGAGATCCTATGTCACTAGTGTGTTCATAGAAGTTCTCTCGTTTACTCTGATGAAACCATTATTAACCCCTGGAGCCCCAGGTACACAAAACCTCAAATTTCCCAATCATTCACTGCAAATGAGAATTTATACACTATGATTTCATTTGGCACTTTAGGAGCACAGTGGCCTATAGGCAGAAACATGATTCTCCTCCTAAGTCAACAGCCTGTGACCCATCTAAGAGCATGAAGTCAAAAATTTGACATTAAATAAAATATTCCAGTAAACTTGTTTTCAGGAAGGATGAGCTATTTATCTTCTACCTAACCATACTCATTAGTAAATTTTTATAAACCCCTAGGGAATTTTTACCCCAGGCTAAACAAGTGTTAGGAATAAAGTATATAAAAATTCTAGGAATTAGTAAGATTTTCTTCACTTGTCCAGAGAAACATGAACGTAGAAGGAACTTCACAGTGTCTAACCAGAGTGATTCACAAAACTATCAGAAGAGTAGAGAAATTAGATTTGTTTAAAAAATCTAATAATAGAAAAGGGAAAAAGAACGGCTTCATGGTGGGTAAAAAACCAAGTTCCAAGCAGGAGAGTGCAGTATTAGGAATCCTACCCTGACAGTTTGTGATTCCATATAAAGAAACAAAAATAAAAATTCTAATAGGAATTCATCTCAAATATCAACACAGGAGGATGGAAAAAATTATTTTCCCTATTACACTAGTGGGGAGTAAACCAAAACCCAAATCATGTAAAAAAAAAAATCTCATGAAACTTTATGTACCTAACATCTAATTAGAATAGAAAAATGACTGGAGGGGCACCTCAGTGGCTCAGTCAGTTAAGTGTTCGACTTTGGCTCAGGTCATGATCTTGTGGTTTATGAGTTTGAGCTCCACACTGGGCTCTCTGCTGTCAGCATGGAGCCCACTTCTGATCGTCTCTACCCCTCCCCAGCTCACGCTGTCTCTCTCTCTCAAAAATAAAAATAAAATAAAAAAACAGAACTGGAAATGGGTCAATAATGGACCTTTAGAATGAAACAAAAATATTCTTAAAAACACTACATATATATATATATATATATATATATATATATATATATATGGCCAAGCTATTCTATTTTTTTAAGATTACCAAATATCCCATGAGAGTTTTCTTCTTAAAGAAAATCTCTAATATTTTTCTCTACTGTAGTCAAGAGAAAAAATCTCAACCTTCATTCCAACACATTTCTTCGAGATATACTTGAGCATCTACTGGTCCCGTATTTCTTAGATCACCTTCTGCAAAATATAAAGAGATGCTTAATTTGATATTTTAATCATAACCATGAAGAATGCTGAAAAGACAACTCCAGCCTGGGGACTACGGTTCTACTTTACTTACCATTTAAAAACTCATTTTACCACTTTTGACAGCAGTTTTAAGGCTACCTAATAGTCCACTTCTTATAAGCCTTAACAGACAAAATCTATCCTATTTTCCACAAACATTGAACAAGCAAAAACCATAGAAATGATTTTCATAATTCCTTGTGATTAACTAGTGACCTCTATTTTGTGAAAGGGAATTTTTTTGTCAGATAAACTATACCTGTAACTAAGGAAGGCAGCGTGGAGTTGGGCAAAAGTAACTATTTGAACCTTAGTTGTAAAATCTTACTAGCTTTCTAACCTTAGAAATATACCTTAGATATACTGAGTTATCTCTTAGCTACTTCAGAAGGGTTGTTATGGACCAAATTGTGTGCCCCCCAAATTCATATGTTGAAGTATTTGGAGATAAGCCTTTTAGGAGGTAATTAAGGTTAAATAAGATCACAAGAGTGGGGTCCTAATCCGATAGAATTGGTAGCCTTATTAAGATGAGGAAGAGAGGTTTATCTCCATGCACAGGCACCAAGGAAAGTAGGATATAAAGACACAGCAACAAAGAGGCCATTTACAAGCCAGTAAGAGAGCCCTCACCAGAAACCATATTGACTGGCACCCTGATCTTGGAATTGCAGCCTCCAGAACTATGACACATAAATTTCTGTTATTTAAGCCACCCAGTCTATGGAATTTGCTTATGGCAGTCAGAGTAGACCAACACCAGGGTGTTGTTCTAATCAAATGAAATCAGGCTAAAAGTGCTTTAAAGAATAAAGCTCTAGGGGCGCCTGGGTGGCTCAGTTGGTTAAGCATCCAACTCTTGATCTCAGCTCAGGTCTTGATCTCAGGGTCGTGAGTTCAAGCCCCACGTTGGGCTCTGCACTGGACATGGAGCTTACTTAAAAGAAAAAAAAAAAAGAATAAAGCTCTAACCAAATGTAGGGGGCTGTTTGTCATCTGATTTTAATTGCTTTCAACAGAGTCGTAGGGAACTTAAAGATAATACTTTAATAAAAGATTTCAATAACCATATAATCACGTGTTGATGTTCTTATTGCACTTCTCTAGGCGGTTTTCCCTACAGGTGGAAGGTCCAAAGAAGCCTGAAATTCCAACCAAATTTAGTAAAAGTATGGTCTAGGTGGTAAAAGCATGCGCGCGCCCTTGCTTAAAACAAGTGTACTCTGGGACAAAGGAAGCCACTATAGATAAGCATTTGTCTTGTTTTTTTTTTTTTTAATTTTTTTTTTCAACGTTTATTTATTTTTGGGACAGAGAGAGACAGAGCATGAAGCGGGAGGGGGCAGAGAGAGGGAGACACAGAATCGAAATGAACAGTACCCAGGCTCTGAGCCATCAGCCCAGAGCCCGGTCAAAGGCTGGGCTTGAATCAATGGAGGGTTTATAGATCGCGGACCTGGCTGAAGCCGGACGCTTAACCGACTGCGCCACCCAGGCGCCCCTTGTCTTTGTTTTTAAAGGCATGTTATACTTCACGTATGCTTGTATTGTTCTTCTAGAAGTCAGTGCTTAAAAGAAATTTCCAAAATCCACCCCTCACCCCAATGAAATTTTCTTTAGCTGTCTCACTAGTCTCTTGTTCACTTGCTGAGACTGCTTTCCTTTGTTCCATGTGAGAATGCCTACAATTTAATTATATTTAATAACTGCCTGTTCAAATTTATTGGTGAGTTACACAATTTTAAAATAGATGAAAAAATTTTACAATATTTTGAACTCACTATTGTTTTCTGTTAAGTATGTCAAATATTACATCACTTCATATTTACTGGGTACCAACAGTCTATTAAAGTGGCCCTAAAATCCAAAGATACAGACATTGCCCAGTGGCCAGGTGTAGCCCCTCCATGTCGGGGGCCCACTGAATAGCATATGCACACTGTATCAGTATGCAAAGTGATTTCTGAACAAAACAATTTCCACATTCTACATAAGGTACACTTGGCTGTAGGCTATTCAGTATTTTAATTTTTAAAAACTTCTCCCTGGAAGTCCCATGGGTAGAGAAAAAAAATCTTAATCACATGTTTCACTTCCTTACAAAGAATGACTAAGGTAGTTTGCTTGAATGGGGAAATGAAACATTGTTTTAGATTTGAGGAGTGGGGGTAATCGGCACTTAACAGATTATAATTAGGGGAAAAACATATGTAAATAATTTACAATCAAGCTGCCTATATTCCAGGGTATCTTATTAGATCTTAAGTAATTCTGAAATCAAAGCGAATCAGACAAGGCAGAGTTGATAAGATGAATAAGCCTTTTTAATCCAACCTATCTTGGACACCTGCAATACAGCAATTATAGAAAAAGACAACTCATTCCTATATATCCATTATGCTATTTTCTATTTTAAAATAATAAGTGAGAAATAACTGGAAAAGATAACTGCCGAGGAAGTCAGCTTCATATTTTTCTGCTTCTCTATTAGGAAGCTATTGTTATTCTTACCTGGTTATTATTTCATATGGAACTCTATTGTTCCACCTACTCAAAAACAGTGGCTTTTACCTTTTTATTATTTTTTTCTTCTTAATGTACAGTAACTTTAGCTACCTATTTTAAGTTGAAAGGTCAACTTAGATGATATCTCACAAGAGGGAAATAGAATGCAAAGAGTACTTTCCCAAGTCAGAGTTAAAAGTATACTAAAAAATATTTTCATGTTCTGTGGCTGATCTAAACATTTATATGTTTTATCTGATTATTCAATATTATGTGGACACTGTCCAAGTTTTTGTGGGAATTCTGATTTTAAAAGTTGTATCTGACACAAAAGAGAACACACCAGGCGATTCCCCATTTTCTGAACTATAACAGGCAAAACTACTCTGTTGCTGGGTGACACTGTGGTGTTAGGTGTGGGGGGAGAGTAGGGACTAGAAGGAGTTGCAGGGCCTTCTGGGTGCTGGTTAGTTGGATGCGTTTACTGTGAAAATCCATCAAGCTGGACACTTAGGACTGGTGCACTTCTCTGTATGTATAGTTCAACAAAAAGTTTTAAAGGTAGTGTGTTAAGCCTCCAATAGCTATACTTTTTAATAGAAATAAGGAAACAAAAGTTAGGGGAAAGAAGTTAAAAGCCTCATAAGAAAGTGTGTGTTCCTTGAAAAGATGGTAATCTAACAACTTCTTAAAAAGGCTGGGGGTGATTAACTCAGGGAGATTGGATCCCTGGAGAATTGTATAATGAGCTGAGGGGGTACATACAAGTAAAAGGTGAATCTAAATGTAGGGGGTGGGGAGGTGACCACGATCCTTTGTTGAGAGGCAGGTGTCCAGGGAGTGAGGCAACAGCAACCTCCCCCCTACTAACTACGATTACAAGGAAGGAGCACAAACAAATCAATGTTGTTTTTTTTTCTTTCTAAACAATGATCTCTGCTTGTCCACCATTGTAGTTATAATTAGAAAACTTAATTCCTCCCTAGCCTGTAAAGTAACTCACAGGAACCTTGTAATTAGCTTTGATAATTGTCTACTAATCAGGCATGGCATCTGCAAAATAGATAAGTTCCTTTTAACTATTACATATTATAAATATTTTTTCTCATTACAATATTTCAATAGGTATCTGAAAATGTAAATCCTATCTTAAAATTTTCCTGTTAACATGACACTACTAAAAATGTTGACAAAACATAAACTGACTTAGAAAGTGATTTAATTAAAGGAATAGATCCAAGATTTAAATCTGGAATCTTAGCCACAGAATGGTAATAAAAACAAGCAAACCCAGCCATTTGGAAGGAAAACGCAATGCCTGGCATTTTGGGTACTCTATCTTAAGTCCAGTTACACTACATGATTCCTAATTCTTTGAAGGAAATGGGCTTAGCTTTTCCTAAGGTATGTAGGCCTGCTCACACCCTGTGCAGTACCCACAGCTTAGCCAAATATGGAGACAAGAAAAAGATCCGAATTTATGTACATACAGAAAGCAATGAATTATAAAGAGAGATTCCTGAGGAATATAATGATAAAATCAAATAATTTATGTGGTTACTTGGAAAAGAATCTTTCAACCTTTAGAAGTATAGGCCCTTATGACCTTGTGTTCTATTGGATTTGTCTGACAACAAGAGGTGAAAGAATTCTGTGGTTCCATTGTCTCAACAGTGGGATCTGAGAAAACACTGGCAGGACTCATCAGAGAGGTTTATGAGCCTGCAATTCAAAGAGATTAAAAGGAAAATCTAGGGAGATTCTTTCACACTGAAGAATAACATTAAATAACTATTAGCAGCTTGGTTCAGTAAAGCTTACTAGAGCTCTCGCTGGGTCATTCACAACTTTCTAAAAGAGGAAAGGTTTTTTTCAGCTCCATTTGGGAATCAATAAATATTTCTTACTTCTTACAAGACAATGGCATTCCAGTCTTTTAAAGCTTCCTCCTAATGATAGTAAAATTTCTAAAACAACTCTTTGCTGCCTAATAATTACATTTCCTAATCCCAGGAAACCTTTTCTAACTAAAGCTACAATTCAAATAAATAAGTAAAAATAAATAACAGCAACAAAAAGCTGTGGTGGAGAGGAATTTAACTTTATTCATTATGGCTGAGATATCACAAGTCTCATTCAACCCAATATTGGCCAAAAGATCTAGTCCATCCGCAGTTCAGTCCCTACTATTCATGTGTAGCAATGTCGTAACTTACCCAAGCGATCAAGTCCCCAGAATGCTCTCATTTAGCAATTAGTCTACTGTATTTATTTTTATGTCTTAAAATACTTAATTTCACACTTAAAGCTTTAAGTCATCTGTGTGTTAAAAGCTAAGAGCAGTGTTTTTCTCTTAGCATCTTTCTGTTTTAAAACCAAGTAATTTAATTTTAAACAATCACCTCATTCTTAAAAATCACTTCACTATACATAATTAAAATTTT